AACCTGATGCAGTCTGCAACAGAACTAAGACTTGGAGAACATTTGTTTTCCAGCAAGACGATGAGCCGAAGCAAACAGCCAAAGTTACACAGAAATGAATGATCTGAAAGCCGAGTCAGAGTCCAGACCTCAAGCCACCTGAGAATTCGTGGCTGGACTTGAAAAGTGTTGTTCACTCGTGATCCCTGTGTAACCTGACCTGAGTTTTAGCAATTTTGCAAAGAAAATGGGGTAAAACTACAGGTGCTCAGGCTGACTGAGACATATGAGCAGAGGCTCAATGCTGTAACTGCAGCCAAAGGTGTATCTACTAAATACAGATCTGAAGGAGGAGAACATTCAAGCAGTCACATGTTTACATTACGTTATGCCACAGTTGACATCACTTTGTAGAAATCTGTTTTCAATTTGACATGAAACAATCTTTTTTTTAATCACAACACCAAAATGAAGGCATCAGTTAATATTCTTGTTTCTAACCTGGTAATGAAGGGATGATTCTGTCCTTCTTTTCTATTTGACCAGCCTCGATGGGAAACATCTCCTTCAGCGATTTCTGTGACCAAAACAAAAAACGTTTCCGATTCTGAAACGGCGCTTTATTTACTGGAGGTAATTTGAAGGGCTTTTGTAGGAACTCACGTGGAAAGTGTGAATTTCAGGATACGTCCTGTAGATGAGCTTCTCTGAGAGGTCGCTCCATTTCACCATCAGCATGTACACCTGCAAATACAGGTCAGCGTTTTAAACAACAAGATATGACATTTAGAACTACTCAGTATGAACATTTAGACTTAAGAAGTATTTTCAAAGACTAAATCCAAAATGTATGTCTCAGAACCTGAGGGTATGTTTAAAAAACACCTCTATATGTAAAGGTTTTAGGAGAATTTATAGTCTTTTGAGCAGAATGTGTGGTTGAGAAGTAGAAGTTTTTAGCCTTACGTAGTGCTGACTCGGGAAGAAGCGTTTCTCGAAGCCCAGCAGCTCCACATGCCTGACGTAGATCTCCTCCATGCTGAGATGCAGCAGAGTCCAACTGAAGTAAAACACACCAGAAATGAGGCTTTAATACTCTGAGTGTGTCATCGATGTGCCGCAAGAGCCGAGTTCCTCTTTACTCGTCTGTGGAAGTTACTTAGATGCATCGCAGAGAAAAAGAAACAAGGAAATAACAGCTGCTTTCACTTGTCGACTGTAAAATGGATTCAGATAATTATAATAATGTTGTTATCAATCAGAAAGCAAGGAGACACCCACTGAAGAAAGTGCTTTATAAAGAGATTGTATACACGGGGATGATGAGACACTAGACAGAGGTTTAAAGTAAATCAATAAATCTGAATATAATCCCAACACAAACAGCAATTACGCAGGCAGCAAATAAAGTACGAGCCACTAAAAGCCTAAGATGGAGGAAGGAAGTGCAGACAAATTGATGGGTTTTGATTTTTTTAAAACCAGAATCAAAGATAATCTTAACGTTTTAGTAGTTTAGTGGGAAGTACAGCTGGCATTACATGACAGCAAGGACACATTAAGTAAATGTGAGCTTAAAATATTTCATCAAAATCACGCTATTCTGCGTCTCACTTTAAAACAAAAAAATATTTTCACCAGATCCTGTAAAACTTAAAAAAAAAAAAAACAATTTCAGGGGACCTGCAGGCTGTGGAACTTTATTAGACAGACATGGATTTTCCTTTTAATCTGTATATCTGATAAGTGTTGATTGTGATTGAGTAAGTGAAGCCAAAATTAATAAAGGTGGTTAGAAAATGTTTTAAATTCTGTTATTCTCAGTTGTTATCACTTTGATGCCGCTGATTTTCCTTTGATGGTGGCTGAAACTCCTTTGGGTGTGTGATGAAAAAAGCCTCTATGCAGTAAAAACCCAGAACTATGGGTAGAGATATTATATTCCAAAGAATAGTCCGCCCCCAAAAGCCTATTTGTTTATTTATGCCAGCACCCAAGATTTCTCAGCAAAACACCACACTGTAACAAGGAAGTCAATGCTTTCAATGTTGTGGCAGCTCGGTATATATGGAAACCAAAGGGGCCCAGTATGGAGCCTTGTGGTACTCCAGGAGTCCATTAAAAAAGTGAACTGCAGCCCATGTTACCTTATCTTGCAGATATCTATGCATTTGCTTGTTATTTCTGTACATCTGATAAACAAAAATGTTGATTATGATATGAGTAAATGAAATACAAGTAACACTGCCTCATATTTTGGTCAGAGTTTACTTACTGTAACAGTCACATCAAATGTAGGTGAACTGCAGGCTGTTTTTTTCCCCCTTTTGGGCAGATATCTAAGCATTGTCCTGTTAGTTTTTCTTATTTGCTATTTGGGGCTTAAAACTAAGTTGTGGGGAATATTTAGGCAGAATTTTGACAGTTTAATTCGCTTTCAGGCCTGTGAGTTTGTATACTTTCCCCCTTAAAGTAACTTCCTATCTGGGAAGTCATTTTAAGTGATAAATGTCTCAAAATAGACCTCTGCAAAATACGATTTTAACGAAAGGCAATAATAAATACGATAAATAAGCACAATAGGGTCTTATATGTGACAGAGAAAGAAAGGAAACAGGGAAAATTTTAATTAAAGGACAAAGGACCACAAAATAGAAATCCAGACTTAATAGAAGCTAAAGTTTGGGATGTGTCCTCCTGGTGTTCAGATTAATCAGCCAGATAGATTTAAAAAAAAAATTCGTTCCTTCTCACAGATATAAATAACATCAGCCCAGTTGCTTTTAAACACATTTTGAAACTGTAAAATAAGAAACTCTGAATTGAAGTTCAGAAAAATGTCAAAATATCACAAAAAAAAACTTGATTGAGGTCGAAAAAAAGTCAGATCGATGAAAGAAAAATGTGACAAAGTGCACTGAACATTAATACAAACACAAACGCTACATATCGATCATGTTTTCTATGTTTTCACACCATTTTAGTGACTTCATTTGTTGTGTTGTCTCTTCCCCTTCAAAATCTGTAAAAGATCAAATGTAAAGAAATGCTGCAAGTCAAGAATTTCCCTCTCCAGTGTTTCTCAGTTGTCCCAACGGGGAAACACCGAGTCGATTTACACACTGAGTCCATCATTTGACACGTTTATTTCTGGTTTTTTGTGTCACTCGTGTGGGCTTTCAGCTAAACTTGTGATTTCCAAAATTTTGGCAGCAGGAAAAAGAGGAACCAAAACAATGAAAAAACAAAACACAAACAAACCCACATGGGGGAACTTCCTCAGCTGCAGACGCGATTATCTGCAAAAATCAAACCTCCCAGACACTATCTCCCACTGCTGGTGACATTTTTTCGCTAAAAAAAAACAGTAGTTTCAATGAGATCATTTGCTGTGTGTGAAACGGTGAAGCTGTTTATATGTCTGGAGAAAGCAGATGACTTCCCTCCATGAGACATCCAGAGTCACGTTACAGTCACTGAAGGAGCAGCTAATAACAAAGAAAACACGTATGACTCACACATGTCTGACTGGGAAGTCAGGTCTAAACAAACTGGTGGAGTCCAAGCAGCTCTAGCGCTGCTGTCGTTACAGAAAAGACAGACTTTTGTCCCAAAAATATATCATCCAACTTAAATATGTGTTTCTCCAGAATGAATCGGTTTCTGATTTGAGCCAATCTGGCATTAAAAAGTCATTTTCTCGACACCATTCACCTCAGAAAGCAACTTATTACTGGTTTTACTGGACGACTCTGCATCATTCCCGCCCTTTGTCTCTCCACTGTTCAGCTGGTTTTAAGAAAGAGTGAGGTGACATGGCCCTGACTTCCTCAGAATAATTTCTTTTAACCCATTTGTTATGATCCTCATGTCATAAAGAAGGCTGCAAGTAAGTGTGCACAGCTTTATATATATTTCTCACAAGAAAAACAAACTATTGTCCTAAACTAATATGAGGAGTCAGGACTTTTAATTAAAATCCAGTAAAAAAACAAAAACAAAAACAAAAACAAAAACCAACATCCGAAAAGAAAGCTGCAAGAAACTGTTCAAATTTTTTTTAAATATACATTTTTTTGCCAATAAAGTCGTAACGTTAAGTAACTATTGATGACACAGATTGTGTACAACAATAGAGTAAAAACACCCAAATACGGCCTTGTAGATGAGAAGCTGTGATTGGCTCAGTGTGGTCACATGATATACTTCGACTTCCTCGTTAGTATAGTGGACAGTATCTCCGCCTGTCACGCGGAAGACCGGGGTTCGATTCCCCGACGGGGAGTAATTATAGCTTCAATTATTATTAATGATGTCTTTCCTGTAATCACAGGCCACCGTGGATGTAAGGATTTATTTATTTATTTATTTATTTATTTTGGCTTTTCTGTTGCACTTTTTACATTTACAAGAGCTATTCATATTTTACATAACCAATATAGGAGCCAATGCCCCATAAAATAAGTAATTTCACATAAACAAGTAAAATAAAGATAAAAGAGCAGAACAGATCAAATTTCATATCAAATTGCGAAAACTTTGTTCATCATGGCTCCTCTTCTTTCTTAATAAAGCCATAAACTGCTCCCACAGTTATGACCTTGCTAACCTTAATCAATGTGCTAACATTAGCTAGCCTGCAACATATTATCCATCCATTATCTATACACCGCTTAATCCTCATTAGGGTCGCGGGGGGGCTGGAGCCTATCCCAGCCGACTTAGGGCGAAGGCAGGGNCCGTGATGGTATTCACACCCTGCCAGACCTCCCTCATGTTGTTGTTCCTCAGCTGCTGCTCCACCTTCCTCCTGTAGGTGTCTTTGGCCTCCTTCAGGCACAGCTTCACCTCCCTCTGTGATGCTCTGATTGCCTCCCTGTCTTTGTTCCTGAAGGCCATCTTCTTCCTGTTGAGTGCAGCGTTGACCTCCTGCGTCACCCAGGGTTTGTTGTTCGGGTAACAACGAACAGTCTTAGCAGGAGAGACGTCATCCACACAGAAGTTCAGGTATCCAGTCAGGCAGTTGGTCAGCCCCTCAATGTCCTCGCCATGGGGGGAAAACAGAACATCCCAAGAGGTGCTTTCCATACAGTCCCTCAGGGCCTCCTCCACCTCAGGAGACCACCTCCTGATGGTGCGTGTTGTAGCTGTCTTTTGACCAGAGGGGTGTACTGAGGCTTTAGGAGGACTAGGTTGTGGTCTGACTTCCCAAGTGGGGGGAGGGAGGTGGCTCTGTATGCGTCCCGTACATTAGCATACAGGAGGTCGATTGTCCGTTTTTTTCTGGTGGGGCAGTTCACAAACTGGTGCAAAGTAGGCAAGGCGGAGTTCAGTGTGGCATGATTAAAGTCCCCAGAGATGATGATGATGAGTGCCTCTGGATGTAGTGTCTGCAGCCTTGCTGTGAATGTATGAATCTTCTCACAGGCAGCGGCTGCATCGGCACTTGAGGGGATGTAAACACACATTGCGATCACGTGACTGAACTCTCGTGGCAAGTAATATGGCCGCAGGCTAGTGGCTAACAGTTCTAAATCCCGACAACACAGAACCACCTTGACAGAAACGTGACTTGGGTTACACCAGCGGCTGTTAACGTACATGATGAGACCCCAACCTCTGCTTTTTCCGCATGCTTTTGTATCTCCGTCCGCTCTCACTGTAGCGAAGCCCAGCAGGTCCTGCTATAGGGAATGAATGCAGAAAGTTAAGGAGGGGAAGAGCCTGAGGTTCCAAACCACGTACAGAAACGTGGATGCATATAGAGTTTTATTAATGTTAAACTCCTGTTAATGCAAATGTTTGTTCAAAATGAATGAGCAAACAGTTACAGTATTTAGTAAAACCAACTAGACTGTATGTATTTACACTGAAGTAACTATTGATCATGCAAACATGTGGTGACTATGAGCTGTGATTGGCTCAGTGTTGTCACATGACAGCCTTCAACTTCCTCGTTTGCATAGTGGACAGAATCACTGCCTGTCACACAAAAGACCGAAGTTTGATTCCCCGACGGGGAGTTGTTGTTATTATTAATGTTTTCCTTGAAAACACTCAAGTAAGATGTATGTATTTCTTCACACACAACGTTTTGCTAATAATAATAATAATAATAACAATCAATTCTAAGTCGATTTCTGGGTTTATTGGTTTCCTGAATCCTGGTTTGAAGCTCAGTGTTGTAGCCCAGGCCGTCTCCATCTTGTCAGTGCCTGGCTAATAATAACTGAGGACTGTCCTACCATGACGCCACTCAAAGCAGCTCAGTGATGCATAACTTTCAGCCTTAATGTAATTTAAACGAGTCACAATAAATTACATAAAACTTCACCCACCACGTTTGTGTCTTTGTCAACACAAGCAGGCGATTAAAGCTGAGCAGTGAAATCACCAAATTTGTTGCACACATCGCCATGGAGATTTTTATGTCTTGATTATTTGTTCTTTATATAATTTGTGTTTTGCATTAAAAGGTCATCACCTGTAATTTTATTCACAATCTTAAAAGATGATAAAACTTTATTAATCCCAAAAGAAATTCTTGTGATGCCTGATGATGATTAACCTGAATCTTGAGTAACAACCCTACATCTGAGCAACGTTTATACCAAGAGTCAGAGATATTGATCAGCAAATTAAGGTTTAGTTTGTGCAGACTACTTAGAGCTTTGAATTGCGTTTTAATGCTCATTTTCTTTCTTGGTCTCGGACAGTGTAACCCTGCAGGGCTGCAGCCAAAGCAATAAAACTGTCTTGTAGCCAGAAGAAAAGATCCAAGTCAAGGAAAGGAATCGAAGATTTGCAAACTCAGAAACGGGATGAGGAGCCATAGATGTGTATTTTCGATTTTGTGCTGGGTTGTTGCAAAAAAAGTAAAAAAAATGACTGAAAACATCTTTTGAAAAAATATTAACTTGTCTCACACCGTAAATCGTATCAAGTTGAAAATTGCACAAGAGACAGAGAAGGCCTTGATGTACAAAAGTTCTGAAGGGATTTGACGTATCTCAAACGGTTTTCGAATGGCGAGCCGTTAAAGTTGATGAGCTGTCGCAGCCTCGGCTCATACTTTGTATGGGTGTCTATGGGACATCTCCAGACATGCTGTGTCAGTTGGTCATCTACACAAGAAACCAAAGGTCCTAAAGCTTTAAAAATGACACTGAGGGCTTCCAAACAACATTTACCACAAAAATATGCTGTTTTTACACATATTTGGTGAAAATGGTTGCTGTATGGGAGAGAGAAAGTGAGTAAAACTCTCAGCTCTCTCAGCCAGGGGCATGAAAAACGCTGAGTCATCATGACATCATCACAGCTCAGTGCAGCTGGTCATGTGACTCACTGACAGTCTGAGGCTGAGAAGAGACAGAAAAATGGCTCCTTCAACTTAAAGCAGATTTAACTTGTGTCAATATGGAGGTCAGACGGGCATGAGGGTCCAATGCAGACCGAGGACCCGACCAATGCTGCTTGCAGCTTTAATTACAAACATGAACCCCTGTGTTGGTTGTCGTGGCCGAGTGGTTAAGCTGATGGACTGGAAATCCATTGGGGTCTCAAAAAGCAGGTTTGAATCCTGCCGACAACGTGGGGCTCATTTTGAGATGCACCAAATCACAAATGAGGTCACTGGCAACAACTAAAACCTTCTACTGGACTAATCCGCCATCGGTGTGTTTGGACTGTTTGAGGAACACTCACTTTGAATCCAGGGATCTCAGTTCTTTGGCAGAGTTCAACAAAACTTGTGTCTTCTGCAGGAAGTTCAACAGTAAAAATCCAGTGGAAGTCACAATATCAAGATGCAATTTATTTATTTATTTTTAAAAAGAAGCAGCTGGATTCGATTAAATTGGGTTCAACTTTATTGTCATTGCACACAGTACAAGTGACAACAATTTAACCAGAAGTGCAATACAAGAAGAAAAAAGTGCATCACTGGCAGTGTTAGCATACGGCCTCCAGTGTATGAACAGAGTGGTACAAACACCACGAAGCATTACATGTATGAGCTGTAGATAACATAAATTAATAGAAAGCTGGACAAATGCACATATAAAGGTACCGATAGTGGTGCAGGCTGTAGAAACAATGTGAGATATATGC